CCAGAATTCTGGGAGTTGAAGTCCACCCGTCTTAAAGCGGCCAAGTTTGAGAAACACTGGCCTAAACTATGGCTCTGTGCATCAGGGTTGTGCAAAGGCCAACAAGCAAGAAATCTTAAGGAATTTAAAGCACAAGGTAGGAAGAAATAAGAGGAAGGAGCTAACACTCATGTACACCAATACCGTTTACCGGGTGCCCGGGGAGGAGGTGTTAAAAAAGGCAAGAACACCCCCACCCCTTTTTAAGAATGTGCATGATGGACGGCATCTTGCCGTCTTTGACCGCCTCCCGAAGTGCAAACATTTGTTCCGGCCGTTCCTGGTCTCTGATGCCAAACCGCCTCGACGCGTTTCGTACAAGTCCCTCCCTTTCGTATTCAGTCCGTGTTCATTTCGCACCGATTCGTATTTGACCTCCTCTTGTCTTAATTTGCCCCACACGTTTCTGGAGCACCCCCTTCCTAGTGCATTCAACAAACGTTTAAACAGCCTCTGCCGTACCCAACTCTCACTTCCCTGTACAGGTAGTCCTTGACTTACGACCGGACTGGAACTTCCATCGCTAAGCGATGTGGTCGTTAAGTGAGTCACGCCTGATTTTACCTTTTTTGCTGCAGTCATTAAGCAAATTTGGCTTCCCCCCATTGACTTCGCTTGTCAGAAGCCCCTTGGGAAGGTAGCAAATGATGATCCTGGGACTCTGCAACCGTTGTAAATACATGCTGGTTGCCAAGCGCCTGAATTTTGATCATGGGGATGCTGCGACGGCTGTAAGTGTAAAGACGGGTCGTAAGTCACTTTTTTCAGAGCCGTCGTAACTTTGAATGATTGTTAAATGAATGGTCGTAAGTCAAGACTACCTGAATCAATGTGGGCAGAAGCACCCTCTGATACATCAAGGAATCCATCTACTTCCTCTGTTTTTTCAGCATTAATATACAACTTGTGATTGTTCCCTCTGCTTTCCCAGTCTATCACAATTGGTCTCTGACACATTCTTTTAGATCCCTGGTCCTTGTTGTATCATACAGTCCATATTTCCGCTAATAATTTGTCTTCTGAGCCAATTACATGGCACACGCTGAAGAACAAAATCGAAAGGGACAAATGGAAAAACCCTGGGGGGGGGATCCATGAGAGAAGGTGGAATCTGAGTTCATGCACTGGGTTATGCTGCAATCAAGCTAGCTTGGGTTCCGTTTAGTGTTTTCTCTAAACAGGCCACCATTGCTTATTACAATTAAAACATCATGGCTTAGAAGAAAAGCAGCCACATTTTCCCACAAAATGAGGCACCACTTTAGTAGCTGTAATTGTAAGTTAAAACTATAGGGGCTGCCCCAAATGATATGTGATCAATGCCTGGGGATTTTATGGATCCAAAATAGAGCATCTGATTAAGTGTAGGGTTGGGAAAGGTTGCGGGTATGTTCACATTTCTCTGCCCTTAGTAATTATCATGCACAAGTGGAAAAAGCAGAAATAGGAAGTTTTAAAAAGTTCCTGTTGATGGTCTCCTCTGAATCTGAAACCAGAAACTTCTGTCGCTAAGCGATGCGGTCGTTAAGTGAGTCGCGCCTGATTTTACAGCCCTTTTTGCCACGGTTGTTAAGCAAATCTGGCTTCCCCCATTGACTTCGCTTGTTGGAAGCCCCTGGGAAGGTAGCAAATGGCGATCACGTGACCCTCTGATGCTGCAACCGTAGTAAATACATGCCAGTTGCCAAGCACCTGAATGTTGATGGCGAGGACCGGTCGTCAGTTTTTCGGTGTTGTCATAACAAGGCCATTGGTCAAAGTCAAGATGTGTTATAGTGCGAGACGGTCGGAACGGGGGGGTAGTTTTGCATCTTGTGGCAGAGACTTTTGTAGACGTTCTTCTTTTGGTTGCTTGACGAAGGGGCACAAACTCACCTGGTACGGCTGGTCAGCTGCCTTACCTCCGTGGGCCGTGGGGTGGTGGTACAGAGCAGCCTCTCCCAAGTGAGAGCCCTCCAAAGCAGTTCCCAGAATTCTCTGGAGTCCTTCCACCATGCTGGCAGGGAATTCTGGGAATTGGAGTCCCAGCCCATCTGGGGGGCACCAGGAAGGAAAGGCTGTATAAATGCAGCAGATCAATACCTACCAGCCGAAATACATGCTTTGGGCTGGTTCTGGATGAGGCTGATGCTCGCCAGCTGGGGTGCATTCGCTCCAAGAATAAAAGTGGGCCACTCGGTGCCACAGCTGCCTAAGGACTGGTGAAGTGGTGCTGCTCCTTGGCACGTTTTGAAAAACAGAAATGCTGTAAAATGAAGACACGCAACCTTGTATTAAGGACAGGTGTGGACGTTCCTTGAACCTTTTCCCTTTCCTTCCCTTCCTAGTTCCCCAGCTATAGAAAGCCACATGGATCAATTGGGGGAGGAAGACCCAGACCCATCACTGAGTCCACCTCTGAGCCAAGAGACCTTTGAGGAGATCTGGGCTTTGAAAATGATCAGCCCTTTCATGGTGAGTACGGGGTTCAACCTCAGCCACTTGAAGATGGGTGGACTTCAACTCCCAGAATTCCCCAGCCAGCCAGGGAAATGACCTGGCTGGTCATCCCAGAACATCTGGAATGGGTTTTGAAAGTCCTCAACAGGAGGGAGGGGGCTTCTGGATGCCTGGCAACTCAGTTCCCAGCTGTTGGGCAAGGTTGGTCTAGAGCAGTGTTTCTCAACCTCGGCCGCTGGAAGATGGGTGGACTTCAACTCATGCTGGCTGGGGAATTCTGGGAGTTGAAGTCCACCCATCTTCAAGTAGCCGAGGTTGAGAAACACTGCTCTAGAGGCACTGCGAGCCTTGATTGGTTTTGCCTACAGATTTATCCATGGTTAATCCAACCGTGGCTTATTCATTGAACTAATGGGAATGGGCTCAGGAGCTCATGGGACCCCAAACCGTTTCTATGTTTTTAGAATACGGAGCAGCTGATGGCCTCCACCCAGCCCATCGCCTTCCCCGAGGAGGGGGCCAGCGCCATGGAGCAGAACACCTACCCGCTGCTGGATCCCCACGTCTCCACCACCCCGCTGGCCCCTCTGGCAGAAGGTTACCTGAACGGAGGAGACTTTGTCATCCCTCCCGCGAACCACTACTTGGCGAACCCCGGGGTCATGCTCCAGCTGGCCGAAGATTATCCTCCGGGGGACAGCGGCGTCTTCCCTCCCACCGAAGATTATCCTGGGTGCTATGGCTTTAATTTGGAGTTTGAGCAATCGGGGACCGCCAAGTCTGTCACCTACACTGTACGAGTCCTTGCAAAGTGGGGCCGGGGAGAGAGCCAGCTTGATAAGTGCAAGGGGGTCCAGGGGTCCTCCTTCCCCACACGTATCCTCTGTCTCTGGCAGGGGCGTCCGGGGGTGTGTCAAAAAAGTCTGTGACTGCGTGATCTGCCCCCTTCCCCTGCAGATTGGGGAGACCTGGGTCAACATAACCTAGAGTCGCTTTTCTCGCCCCCTAAAATGCACAACCTGGATTGTCTGGGGTCTTTGGATCTGGTTCTGTAGCTTCCACCAAGGACCGCGAGGTTTTTTTGAAAGCCCCTCGCTTCTTCAGGAGGGGCAGTTCTGGGTGTGAAACGTGCCCAGCTGTGCACCAGTCTTGCCCCG